AGCGATGGAGCAGCTGGGGACTTTAGATCAAGAGAGGAAGAGCGAAGACTGGGGAGGTAATAGTGTAGGGGACAGGCTTGCAGGGTTTACCCTTTGGTCAGTTGATGATGCATGGAGGGGACTGTAACCATGGCAATGATACGATGCACGATAGAATGAATGTAAAACTAATGTTCTCCCATGTAAACTATCATATAATTCACAATAAAACACTTAAAAAAAGTGAAATGGAACGTATAAACATCAATATCCTAGGCATGAATGAGCTGAACTGGAGTGGTATTAGACATTTTGACTCTGACGATCACATGGCTAACTATGTATGCCAGGAATGACAAATTAAAGAGGAATGACATGGCATTCATCATAAAAAATAACATATCAAGATCTGTCATGAAGTTCAGTGCTGTCTGTGATAGGATAATATACATATTCCTTTAAGCAAGACTAGTTAAAACCACTATTATTCAAATTTACACACCAACCACTAAAGTCAGTGATGGTGATATTGGAGAATTTTCCCAACTTCTTCAGTGTAAAACAGTATCAAGACATATTGATAATTACTGGTGATTGAAATGCAAATGCTGGAAACATAGAGGAAGGATCAGTATTTGGAAAATATGGCCTTGGTTATAGAAATAATGTTGAAAATCTCAAGACAGAATTTTTCAAGACCAATGAAAAATTTCTTAATCAACATAAAAGAAGACTATACACATAGACCTCACCAGATGGCATGCACAAAAATCAAACTGACTACATCTGTGGGAAGAAGACAGTGGAAAACAAGGCCAGAGACAGACTGCAGACCACACCATCAATTGCTCATATGCAAGTTCAGGCTGAAGCTGAAGAAAATTAAAGCAAGTCCACAGGTACCAAAATATGACCATGAACATACCCCACCTGAATTTAGAGATCATCTGGAGTACATAGTTGATGAATGAGACACTAATGACCAAAGACCAGAAAAGTTGTGGGATAACATCAAGAACATCATAGAGTACAGGGTTGATTTGTTGTTGTTGTTAAGTGCCATTGAGTTGATTACGACCCATAGCGACCCTGTATAGGGTTAATAGGGACAAGCAATTTAGACACTGGCTACCTAAAATGGTGGGGGGGGTGCTATAAAGGCACAAAGTGACTGGCTTATAAGTTTTCAAGAGGGAGTTTAGTTTCAGAGTGTGTGGGGAAAGGTAGAATCCCCACTGAACAGTTTTCATCTTGTCTAGAAGAGTCTGGTGAAAGGAGATGGGGATAAGATTCTTATGATTCAATAGTGAGTAACTGTTACCATGATGAATTGTGACTGTCACAAACTGTAAAGGTAGACATTTTGTAATATCAACTGGGGAGTAGTTAATCATACACTCCAGGAACAGAGGACCCTAGGACCATCAAGGGAGAAGAGCATGAGTAGAATGTGGGACCCTATCCAGAGAAGCAGCGACACCAGAGATGGAGTCAGAGATTGGGACATGATAGACAGAGCAGCTGAAGCCCCTAGGCTCATGGGAAGAGAAAGGCTGTGTGCTGGCAGCCAGGAGGCAGGCTTTCAGAATGTGCTTTTTGGTTGTTTAGATAATTATATATTCCTGAGGGTTTTTGTGTACATCAAACAAACAAACAAAAAACCCAGAAGCAAATACTGTTGAATGATGATGCATGGAGGGGATTGTAATCATTGCAATGAAACAAAATACAATAGGATGAGTGCAAAATCAATGCTTTCCCATGTAAATTATCACTCAATTCACATTAAAACTTGGGGAAAAAAAAGAACATCATACAGGAAGAAAACAAAAAGTCATTAAGAAGGCAAGAAAGAAAGAAGAGACCAAAATGGATGTCAGAAGAGAGTCTGAAACTTGCTCTCCAGAATAAAGATGTTAAAGCAAAAGGAAGAAATGAAGAAATAAAAGAGCTGAACACAAAATTTCGAAGGTCAGCTCTAGAAGACAAAATCAAATATTGTAATGAAATGTGGAAAGACCAAAACCAAAAGGAAAGAACACACTAAGCATTTTTCAAGATATATGAACTGAGGGAAAAAAAATAAAGCCTTGATTTGTAGTATTGAAGGATTCTAAGGGCAAAATACTGAATGATGCAGACAGCATCAAAAGAAGATGGAAGGTCTTGTCTAGATGGATCTGGTGAAAAGAGATGGGGATAAGATTCGTATGATTCACTAGTGAATAATTGTTATCATGACTAATTGCGACTGTCACAATTGTAAAGGTTGAAGTTTTGTAACAAAAACAGGGGAGTGGTTAATCTTACAGTCCAGAAACAGAGGACCCTAGGACCACCAAGGGAGAAGAGCACAAGCAGAATGCAGGACCTTATCCAGAAAAGCAGCAATGCCAGAGATGGAAGTAGAGATGGAGACATGGAGAGAGGAAGCTGCTGAGGACTCTAGATGCATGGGAAGAGAGGGACTAAGAGATGGCGGCCAGGAGGCAGACTTGTAGAATGTGACCTTTGGAGGTATAAATTATTATATATGCCTGAGTGGTTTTTGTTTTGTTTTTTTAAAAAACAAAACAAAAATTAAAGTGAATAGAGAGAAATACTGTTAACTGATGGTACATGGAGGGGATTATAATCATTGTAATGAAACACGGTGTATGATTTGTTGAATGTAAAACTGATGATCTGCCCTGTCAACTTTCACTCAGTCCACAATTAAAACCTTAAAAAAAGATGATGGAAGGAATACACAGAGTCACTGTGCCAAAAAGAAATGGACAATGTCCAACCATTTCAAGAGGTAGCATATGATCAAGAGCCAATGAAGGAAGAATACCAAATTGCTATAAAGGCAACGGCAAAAAACAAGGCTCCAGGAGTTGATGGAATAGAAATTGAAATCTTCCATGAAACTGAGGAAAAACTGGATGTCAAGGCATCATCTCACAAAAGTTGGACTTGGAAAAGGACACCTTGTTTGGTAAAGTAGAAAACCAGGAAAAAGAGGAAGACCCTCAATGAGATCAGTTGATGCAGTGGCTGCAACAATGAGCTTAAACGTATCAACAATTGTTAGGATGGTGCAGGACCAGATATGTTCCATCTTGTTGTGCTTAGGGTCTCAATTAGTCAGAACTGACTGGATGGCACCTACCAACTATGGGGTCCTGGTGTGGCGCCATAGGATAAGCACAAAGTTGGTGGTTCAATCCCACCAGTCCCTCCTCAGAAACCCTATACAGAGTCACTATGAGGCAGAACTGACTCAACAGCATTTAACAACAAAAGTTTGCCGGCAATTGTCTCTCAAAGGTCCATGGAATGAAATGTTTTTGTGTGTGCTTTACTTGCAACTTTTATGTAAGTTTAGAATTGTTTAAAAATCTAAAAAACTAAATAGACACTATCATTCCCTTTATGGCATTTAAAACCAGGTAAAAACTAATGATATGGTTTAGTGATGCACGTTGTTGTTGTGTGCCGTGCCGACTCCTAGCGACCCTGTACAGGTTTCCGAGGCTTAGTGATGCACATACATAGGGGTAAAGGTGACTCTTGGGGTGTTGACAAGGTTCCTTTTCTTGGTGTGGGTTCTCTTTATAACCTAATATTCTCTTCATAACCAAACTTTAAATTTGTACTTGTGCATTTATGAACCATCTGTATACAGAGACTATGGATTTTGAAATTCTTCTAAACTGTGGGGTACCACCTAGCCAGGTGTGCTCAGCAGTTCTGTCCCTAGCGCCAAATAAATGAATATAGGCATATAAAATAAGTATTAACTTAGGAAAAATACAGTACCAAAAGTCTATGTGCTTCCCCAAACTGGCTGTACATTTAAAAGCGAAATCAGAACGGCTTCCTTTCATTTTGCTCAGACTGTCAATCACATCTTCAAACAGCCAGATTTTATTCAGTGTTTCCACAAATAGGCTGTAGCATTGTAACATCTGCTTCAAAATCAGGCGCAGAACCATGAACTGAAGCTGCACCAACACTTCCAGGATCCCTCAAACAACCCAAGCCAGTTGCCATGGAATCGACTCCCAACTCACTGCGACCCCATGTGTCCAAGCAGAACTATGCTCCATAGGGTTTTCAATAGCTGATTTTCGGAGACACCTGTGGGGGGATATGAATCTCTAACCTCACTTAGCAGCCAAGTGAATTAACTCTGCGCCACCCAAGGAGTCCTTAAACATAGCAGGAAGGCCAGAAGTGCGTTAACAAAGTTCTTTAGCAGAAACTCAGAAGCAAACGCATTTTATCCGTGTGGCCACAGGGCCCCCGAATTCTACCCATCCCACCCACCTCTCCGCTGGCCGAGTCCCAGCGGTCGGCTCCTGGTTGGAAAAACTCCTCGGCGGACGTCCCTAACAGGTGGCAGCCCTTCCGCGACGGCGGCCTCTTAGCGTCCACAGTCCCTGAGCAGCAGCCCCGCAGCGACCGAAGCCCTTTAGGTACAGCACTTCCGACGCTGGCAGCGGCGCGGTTTGGGGCAGAAAGTTCCATGACAACGGAAGGGTCCATTGCGGTTGAAAGGAGTCTCGCGCGCCGCGTGCTTCCCTATTTGGAAAGATGGTTCATTCCAACGGTGCGGCTCCTCCTGAGCAGGCGCAGAACTAGTCGCGTTCGCAGACCCAGGTACCTAGTTGGTGACCATCGCGGTACAGAGTGTTCGCTCTCGAGCGTTTGAGCAGCCGCACTTCCTTCGCAGGCCCAGTGCGTGGGGCTGAGGCCTCGGCCCGAGAGGGGTCGCTGGGGGCGTCCTGATGCTAGGCCGCGTAGGTGACTGGAAGAAGCGCGTCACGGGGAGAACCGGTGCTGCCTGTTAGGTGTACTTGAGTTGATTTCAACCCACAATGACCCTATGCACAACACTCCACCTTTGTTGTTATATTGGATCCCTTTGTTGTTGTCACTGTGTCAACCCATCTTGTTAGGGACTTTCCTTGCTCTTTGGCCCGCCACTTTCCCAAACATGATATCTTTCTCCAGCGACTAATTTCCTCCTGACAACATGTCCAAAGCCATCTTCACCTCTAAGAAGCATTCTGACTGCACTTCTTCCAACATAGACTTGTTGGTTCTTCTAGCAGTTCATGGTACTTTCCATATTCCTGACCAATACCATAATTCAACTGAATTGATTCTTCTCTGGTCATCTTTATTAATTGTCCAACTTGCATATACATATAAGGCAACTGAAAGTATCATGGCTTGGGTCAGGCTCACTTTAGTCCTCAAAAACATCTTTGCTCTTTAACACTTTAAAGAGGTCTTCTCAGCAGATTTGTCTAGTGCAACACTTGGTTTAATTTCTTGACTGGTGCTTCCAAGAATATTGATTGTGAACCCAAACAATGAATTTCAAGCAACTTTAATCTTGTCTTTGTTTATTATGATGATATTTATTGGTCCAGTTGTGAGGATTTTTGTTTTCTTTACATTGAGGTGCAATCCAGACTGAAGGCTGTGGTCTTTGATCTTCATCAATGAGTATTTCAAGTCCTGTTTTCTTTCAGCAAGCAAGATTGTATTGTGTCATCTGAGTGTCACAGGCTGTTAAACGAGTCTTCCTCCAATCCTGATGCCATGTTCTTCTTCATGTTACCCAGTTTCTTGGATTATTTGCTCATCATACAGACTGAACAAGTATAGTGAAAGGATACAACCATAGCATACTCCTTTTCTGATTTTAAAATATTTAGTATTTCCTTGTTCTGTTAACTGTTTCTTTGTCTATATACAGGTTCCTAATAAGCATAATTAAATGCTTCAGAATACTCGTTCTTCACAATGTTCTCCATAGTTTGTTATAATCCACACAGTCAATTGCCTTTGAGTAGTACATAAAACACAAGTAAATATATTTTTGGCATCCTCTGCTTTTA